TTCAGGATATTCATAATTGAAAGGAACCTACCACGAAGAAAAATTTCCAATACTTTGCTACTTTTAACACTTTTATGATTCGCTTCGCGGTTAATTTCACCGCAATTCCTAACGAAAATAATCCCAGCTTAAGTGCCCACAGCAAACCGCGCAGAATACTCAGATTTTGTCCGTTGTTTATCTGTTTTAGTTTCACCTCGTTGTCTGATTGGTTGTTCAGGACGATAGGTTAAGGCGAGGTGTCTCTGTGGGGACGGGGTAAGCACTGTTCATTAATCGACCATACCACCCGCGGTAGAAAGAAAATTGACCTCGTACCCAAGTCTCTTCCGCGGTCGTATCCAGTCTGACTGTTCAGAGCATAGCCAGAGAGAAGCGAACTTGGAAATGGAGGTAGAAAACGCTCGTTTCCAGTGAAATGCGCGGGGAATTTTAGTTATGAGACATTTCCCAGGTGCAGTGATCTTAAATCGTAAACTACGGCCGAGAAAAATGCCGATTGGGAGTATTTTCGGGGTGCAAACCACCTCTGCGTGGATAACGGTCAAAATCGGAGTGTACAGCTTTGACTTCGTCGATATGACAGGAATTACAGTAATAGAAAAACACACTTAAACGGCAAAACACGCTTAAACGGCAAAAATCGCCGGAAACCACAGCGGATTCATAAGATGTGAGTAAGTTTTATTGATTTTACGTGTAAAATGTTCATATTTCAAAGTATTTATCGTTGTAAATCGACTATATTTCTTCCCCATACTATTCCTTATAACGTGTGCAAATTCTCAATGGTTCCTCTTGAAACTTAACACCGAGTCACACAACGCGTGACGATTTCATGATTTAATCGTTTGCTTTTTCTCGAAACGTGAACTTGGGCTGCCTGTAGTCATACGAACTTTGTACGCACACCGTGGAGTCTCGACATTGCCGATACTAGCAGTAAACAGGAAGCGTGCCATATGGACTTTGAAATGGGTCAAATTTTGGGGCCATCACGCATCACGCAAAAACCCTTTGCCACCATCTCTTGAGTTTCTAGAGTTTCGTTGCTGTAGAGAATTCCCTTAGTAAACCAAAAGCTACCTTTTGACGAAAGAATCAGCTGTATCACGATGCACTGAGAAGTCATAGGGCAGTTTCACTGCAAGTTGCTCCTTTCCTTAGAGATTGCAAAGGCAGAGGCTATCGTCGTGATCGTTGAGCCGGCCAAACCGAACGGAAAACGAGTGAGTTTACAGTCATATGATTCAAGTTTATCTCAAATAGGGATTTCAATAGAGAAAGACTTCTTTAGTTAAGGTGCAGCATTGCCATAAGACCCCTTTCCGCTCAAAGGAAATAACTGACACCAGTATTGTAAATAATTACTTCGTATGCATCGACTTTGACACGGCACTTGAATTTGCTACCATCTAATTCAATAAAATTTGCGTTTCTTTATTTATCTCGTTGCAGTGCTTTGATTACAATGACAATACTACTGTTGCTACTTTTAGTTTCTTGAGGGTAGGGGGGAATTGATGGCTCGTGGGGTGGATTTTCGGAACCCAGGTTAGGAGAGTACACGGCCCCTTCGAGCTTGTGTTTATGTCAGTATCCGCCAAAAGTTCCGCAATGTTCACGCAACAGGATATCGGTCAGGAAAGCTCAAGAAAGGGCTTACAATGCAGTACAAAAAGAAAGGCGTAAATGTAATCATGTTGAAAGAGAAGGAGTATGAGTACATCTCAAGCGCGTGAAATAAACAACAATAAGAAGCTCACCATTCTCCGCTTGCGAATGTCAGCCGAAAAGAATGTTTAACAATCGTGTACGGTGTGGGATCAGGCCCTTAATTAGCTGAATTCTTTGGTTATCTTCCCCTGATTTGACCAGTGGTACGAGTTCGTAACAAGTGTATTCGGAGCCGGTACGGAGCATAAGGCCGACGACATTGAAGAGTAAAATCTCCTCGATGTCCGAAACGCGTCTATTTTGGCCATACAGCTACATCCTTTGGAATGTAGTGTATAGAAATACCCGGTATATGTGTATTATTCTTGTAGATAACATCGTTTGACGCTCCGGCTACGCAATGCGTCCGTCTTTTTTTCTAGTTTTCTTCTTCACAGCCATGTGACATGATCGTTTTGGCCGCGCGCTAATGGAGACACTTTTTGGCCGCTAAATTGTACTAAAAAAATATGGTCAAGGAGAACTTGGTGAGCGCTAAGGTCTATTATTCCTGATTTTAAATACAGCTATCAGCCAGAAAATGCAAGACCAAATTTCGTGTCATGGCACTTCGATTAGCATCGCACTCACGAAACTGGAGTTCAAAGTCCACTTAATTTCTGCTTACATTTGTAAACAGCGCCACGATTGTCGATAAAAGTTGGACCATTTGCTGCAGAATCTCAAGGTTTTACAGATTTCTTCAAGAGATAGTTACGCTGCAAGCGTGAAGAAAGAGCGACTCTTCTTTCAGTCGAAAGAATCGCTGCAAGAAACAACTAGCTTTAATTTAAGAGCTTCGCAGCACCGTTCGCAAAGAGACCGCATGCCTTCGTAATATGTAGATTGGACAACTGTAACTCTCTTTTATATGGACTTCCGAAATACCTAATTCATAAACTTCAGTTAGTTCAGAACTGTGTGGCGCGTCTAATCTTGTGTGGTTCTGAATATGACCGTATTACTCTTTTACTGAGAGAACTACATTGGCTTCCCGTGGAGCAGGGGATTGTTTTCAAAATCCTTTTGTTGTCTTTTAAATCTTTAAATGATTTAGGTCCTAGCTATATTTATGATTTGTTGCAAACTTACAACCCATCTAGGAATTTACGATCATCAACCATGTTAGTGACACCTAGATCGAGGTTAAAAATTTTATGGTGATCGTGCTTTTTCGGTCTGCGCCCCTAAACTTTAAATCTTACATCTTTTAAGAGCAACCTAAATCGTATCTTTTTGAGCGCTATTTTAATTTGTAGTTTGTTCTAATATTGTTTGAATTTATTATTTACCAAGTTACTGCTTTAAACATTTTATTGTAAAGCGCATTAAAGCTCTAGAATAGGGCGCTATAGAAATTTTTGTATTATTATTATTATTGTTCTAGAGAAGATAGGCGATCGATCACTGGCACTGCTTGATATATTTAAGATTTTCCATAGGCAGTTGCTAACGAAACGGAGACAACGTTACCTTCAAAAAACATATGTATGGCTTTCTACTGTTGTTCTTGACATGTCTCTATCCAAAAGTTGCGCAAACTTGCCTTTAAACCTTGTCGTAGATCGCTGATAACTGAAAAGTTCACTATGAAAGCATTTTGTTCACCATCTTGTTCGTTTGGATGAAAACAAATTACTAGCTCTAGCCAATCAGAATTAAAGAAAGAATAACCAATGGTGGATAACCAATGAAAAGTCATCACATATTTTCTTGCAAAAAGAGTGACGTCACGGAACACGATTAGTGTCAGGTTTCGCCTCCGTTTCACCTTGGGGAGAGGGGTACGGATGCACGTAGACTAGCTCAGTGGTAGACCATCGGAGCACGGAATCCGAAGATCTAAGGTTCAATTCCTCATGAGAACGCACAATTTGTTATTTGTCCCACATGCTTCACACATTCTAAACGTTGTAGACGCGACTCGGGCTGATACCAAGTGTTTATTAAAATGTTCCTCGATAAATTTTTCTTCACGTGCGAGTCATAAATGTCAGGTGACACTTAAGCTTCTTCCCGGCTTCTAGACACGAAATATTCGTGTTTTTGTTTTTGTTTTTCTGTTTTGTTTTTTTATTCTGTGTTTTTGTGTGTGCAGTAATTAGATTTTAAACAGCCAAATTTCTCGCTTACTACTGTATGATGAATGATTGAAAATAATTACTCCTGCATTTACGGGCTAATTTCTTTTTCCAGTAAATAGAACACTTCACTCTTTTTATAGAATGAAGGTTGAACATGGCATTCGACCATGTAATTAAGGTTATTTGCCACCTTCAGAGGCCGAAAAAATCGTTTTTTCTTTCATTTGATTTAACTTAAACCAAACATTTAACAAAACGTTTCCATAAAAAAGAAAAATTTCTGAAATCTTTAAAAGCACCCGAGATATTGACGCCAGGAGGTCCCGTTGTCCCATTGGTTTGTGGTTTCTGAAGGCGAGATTATCTCCTCGCGTGGCGTGTGTTGTTTGCAAACCTTTATGAGCTTAAATCTTATCCAAACACTTGGAGCAAATTTATAGGGTATATAGATTTGATCGATTTTCGTCAAAATTTCGCCAAAACATTCTAGGAATAATGACAAACGAAAGTGTGCCGGGAAATTTTGGTATTTGAAATATTTGTACCGTGGTGTCCATTTACGCCATATGCCATAAGTATTTTTAGTTACTCCAACTTTAGATGCCGATATCAAGACAACCACTCGGAATATCGAAAAAGCCCGACACACGTTCGTTGATTGATACCTTGTGAATGAGACTGTGCAGCCAGTTTGCTCGTGCTGCGGCATCCGATACCTGATAACTTCAATAGAAGAACTTTCGGTCGTTTCACGCCTTACCGGCTCCTGATACTTCCTGAAGTAAAAATTCGCCTAAATTATATTTTTATGGTAATCTGCAGTTATTAAGCTTTCTTCTGATGTATAGTTTGCTAGGATTTTAGACAAGACAACAATATCGGCACCATTGACTGGGTGTTAGCTTTTTCACACGGAAAACTCGGAAATGAATGAATAGGATAAGTTTATAAAGAAACCGTGGCGCTGCGTCAGTGGGGTTACCGGTATAACAAGACAGTTTGTTTTACAAACGTGATTGATATTGACTGATCTTAGCAGTATACAGGACGTGTGTCATATGAACTTCATAATGGACCTCGTTCACCGTAGAGTCTCTAGCCTAGCAGTATGCATGTCATATGAACTTAGTAATGGACCTCGCTCACCGTAGAGTCTCTATCCTAGCAGTATGCATGTCATATGAACTCCGTTATGGACCTTGCTCACCGTAGAGCCTCCAACCTAAAAGTATGCATTTCATATGAACTTTGTAATGGACCTCGCATACCATAGAGTCTCTATCCTAGCAGTATGCACGCCATATGAACTTCGTAAGGAACCTCGCTTACCGAGGGGTCTCTGTGGCTCAGTGGTAGAGCATCGGAGCGCGGAATCCGAAGGTCTAAGGTTCGCTTCCTCATTGGAACTCAGTTTTTTTTCTTTGTCCCACATGTTTCACACATGTTGCACGTGGTAGACGCGACTCGGGCTGATACCAATTGTTTATTAAAACGTTCCTCGATTACTTTTTCTTCACGTGCGCGTCATATTCCATCGACTATATATGACGCGACTATATATGCTTGAATGGCAAAACTCTCGTCTTCAGAGTAAGATGGAGTCACCCGTAGAGCGGGCAAGTTCCCGCCAAAGTCGTGACATAGCTATCGCCAGAAACGTTTACGACGAAAGCTTCTTCACTGCATCAAAACGCCATGGCTCTCCATTGAGTAGCAAAGAAGACTCAACGAAGAAGAGCCGTTACTTGAATGTCGTTCGTCGAAAGCTTTCTCCGAGTTCGTGTTCATGGAGTGGATTCATCTCTGTGCTGACTCAGCTCATGCCGATTATTCGTTGGTTACCAAAATACAACTTCAAAGAAGATTTGTTTCCCGACTTAAATGGAGGTGTTACGGTCGCTGTCATGCATATTCCTCAAGGTATAGCAATTTTGTACTGATGCATGGATCGTCTGCTTAGTTATGTCTTAACATCATCCGACTGACAAAACAACACGTTAAGATTTAGTTTGGCAACAGCTAGAATTAATTTGTACATAATGCGTTCGCTTTGGAGAAGAGGGCATGATTTGGCAGTTCGCTTACTTTGTTATAGCGAGGAATTACTGTCAAAATATCAGTAAGGAGAATGGGGGTGGTGCGGATTACTGCTGGGGGTTAGTCGACGGGAACTATCAGTTACACAAATTGTGTAGACTTAATAAATAGCCGTGGGTAGTTTGGGAAGATTATCATGGCTTTAGCATCTTTGAAAACTGTCACATGTCAGGAGCTCATTTTTGAGTAATGGGCTCCTGCACATGTCTTTTTCTGACGTCATCTTTTTCTCTTCCAGGACTTGCATTCGCCATGCTGGCTTCTCTTCCACCGGTCACAGGACTTTACACCGCCATTATCCCAGTATTGCTTTATATGATCATGGGTACATCACGACACTTGTCTGTAGGTATGCAGGAAATTCTTTCCTTTTGTTTTTTTTTTTTTAGTACCTCTGCAGCTTTGAAGGAATGATTCTATCATTAATACACAAGTTTTTGGTTGTGTTAACCCTCTACACCCTGATATCAGTATGCATATTCTCAATACTGTAAGCTATATATTTCCTAAAGCTCTGAAAAGGAGAATTCGTTTAACAATCTAGAGCTTCTCTCGTTGGTGATCATTTCCTTTATTTACGTGACCTTAATGTGCGATTCTTCGGTGAGGAGAGATTAGATGCCAATCTCTCTCAGGTGTTAAATGACCGACAGACTGTAGTGAGACAAGTAATCAGTTTAATGATTGGTTGTTGTTGTCACGTGATAGGTAGTTTTGCAGTCATATGTTTGATGGTGGCACAAGTTGTTGAACGCGAAGTGGGTCACATGCCCGCAACACCCAGTCCCGCACCAGGTAATAGTTCGATGCCCAGTCCTTCTCCGACAAGTGGAGGCTCCGCGTTATGGTCACCCTACGATTCGGCCAAATTGGAAGTCGCCATTTCCCTCTCCTTACTCGTTGGCATCATCCAGGTAAAGTGATTTACCATTTGCTTTCTACAAATGTGAATAGTAGTTTAAAAAGTATTTTTTTTTTAACGGTAGGTTATCATGGGAGTGGCGAAGCTGGGGGTTGTGGCGACGTACTTGTCGGATCCATTGATCAGCGGTTTCACCACAGGATCAGCGGTGCTTGTTGTCAACAGCCAATTGAAACATATACTTGGACTAACAGTTCCTCGGATCACCGGATCATTTGCTGCAGTGAAGGTAACTAAGCCTTGAGCACATTGTTTCAACCATTCTCTAACCATCTTCCGAATCCTTGGAAAATAAATCTCGAAGTTTGAAAAAAATCACTAGAATACACGAATTGTATCCGATTTCCGACCAAATGGTCACAATATCTACCTTATATTCTACCAAAATTACTGTTAATTCATATCCCTCAGAGTGGCTTACCTGTTAGGGAGCTCTTTCTTTATCTCCTCTAGGCCTAAGATTCTTTACATCGTCTTTGAATACTATTAAATTGTTAAACTTCACGTATATATTTTCTTTCTTCTCGTGCTCCGCTAAATTTGAGTATAGGATTTTTTCCAAGATAAATTTTACGACCTAGATCTAGAGATGCCCGAACCAATAACCGAGAATTCGTGATCGACCTAACCTTCTCAATGATTCAAACAAATGATGATGATAATTGCTTTCAGATCTTTATTCATATGATGAAAAACATTCCTTCGGCGAACGTTGGAGCCGTAATTACAGGCCTGCTCTGTCTTTTTCTGTTGATTGGACTGAAAGAAATAAACGTTAGATTCAAGGACAAACTGAAAGTTCCCATCCCTGCTGAACTTCTAGTGGTAAGAACATTTATTTCATTGGGTCAATTTGTAGGATAGTAGCCGTGGATATGAAACAGTGCCTCGAAATTTTCTATTCTTCCTCCAATAAGGATTAATTTACTGTTGGGGTGTGGCCAGGATTTTCAAAGGGGGGGGGGTCCATGCTGTGTCAAACAGAGGGTACTCACCAGTTTTAACCAACTGAATATTGAGGGTCGTTTTCTTAAAAAAGGCTCACAAAGGAGGGGGGTGGTTAAGGGCACCCCAGGTCCCCTCCACCCTAGCTACGTCCTTGAACTGGTAAGGCTCGAAACTTCGTAGCTAGTTACCCAGAACGAGAAAGCCCGGAACAAGAAACTTTTTTTTTTATCTTTTTAAATGCATTCTTTAATCTATTAATTTTTATATTCATTTTTCAATCAAAGGATTCACAAACAATCAGAGAAATCTTTAGAAGCCCTGTGTTCTCCTGTTCAGTCAATTTGATCGAAAGCTTGGGAAACAAGGACAAACGGCCTGTTCTCACCTCTGTTTCCTTTTTTATCTGATCAGGTTGCTGTCGGAACTGCCATATCATATGGTGCGGCCATTAATGCGAACTTTGGTACACCGATCATAGGAGAAATACCGAAGGGGTTTGTAATATACCTTGTGGTGTGCTAGACACAAGTAACATAGTGTGTTGTAACGATTTGTCTTTTAACATCGAGCGGGAGCAGTTTCCCTTGTGTGACACACCATAAAATTGAACTTTCGCGGTAACAATATTTCGGTTGCAACTACGTATGACTTAAATTCGAAGTCTGATATCGTTTATAGGTACAAAAGTATTTATAACTAGCTTTTAGTAACTTCGTTGTCCACGAGGAAATGTTCATAATTGTCTTTCAACAAACCACGTCTCTTTGTGCATACGTTTGTCCCAAGTTTTTTTTATCGAACTGCAACGAATATTTTTCTTCATCAGCTCCCTAGCAGGCCACGTTTTATTTAGTTCTTCATTCACTTGATTCGGTTTCAGACTTCCTCCTCTGAGTGTACCATCTTTATCCAAGATCTCGAACATTTTCTCAGACGCTTTTGTCATCGCAGTGGTGATATTTGCTACAAACATTTCGCTAAGTACGATGTTTGCTAAGAAGCGTGGTTACTCAGTCGATCCGAACCAGGTTTGTTTATTAAGAATTGTACATGAATGAAAAAAACACATACACACAATAAAAACTGAAGAGGAATTAGTGGGTGACGCAGTGGCATTTTGGTCCGTGCACGGTGTTGGGTTCTTGGGAAGACACTCTTCTTTCACTGTGCCACCCCACGTTCCCCCTCCAACAACGTAGAGTATTCAGATAATTTTTCTGTCGAAGCGTCCTTACACATAAGTATATTTCAACTTTCAATACGGGACAGACCTCTTTGAGATGTGGGCGCCGACCGTAAACAAGGTAACATCAGATTTAGCGCGAGTTGATCCTTATCAGTCAGACTGAGTTGGACATTAAGGCTCTTGTTTAATAAATCATAGATCCATGTAATCATATTGCTGTTTTTCTTCCCTCTTCTCATTTCAGGAGCTGATTGCGTATGGAGCAGGAAATATTGGTGGATCTTTTTTTTCGTGTTTCCCGATCTGCAATGCTTTAGCGCGTACAGCGGTACAGGAAAACCTTGCAAACACTCAGGTAACCAAAAATAACCAAATGCGGTTTTAAATTGTTTTTTAATCATTCCTTGACCTTAGAAAGCCACTGACCTATCGTTAAGTGCAAAAACCGTCGTGTCGATAAATGGTGTCATTTTTTTAGCATACTAAGTGCTTTACGAGGTGTAGAGTGAGTTCTTCTTACGTTTAATTTATAGCAAACTGGTTTGGGGCAATTTTGAAAAGAAGTGTTCTGCGCGCGCAAAAGGATGCTTCACGGATTAATTGTTTCTTTTGTGTTATTATTTCACAGCTTTGCAGCGTGGTTGTGATCATCTTGGTCCTTCTCGTTCTACTGTTTATTGCTCCACTTTTTTTCCATCTTCCAAAGGTGAATTATACGTTTCAAAAATTCTTGCGCTGGCATAAGCTGTTGTTGTGTCATTTCTTGAATTTGCAAACGTTTTTTGTGTTATTGTTACTTTTGAGCTCATCGAGTTATGTTTGCTTTAATCCAGGCTATCCTAGCTGCAGTTGTGATCGCCAATCTCGTTGGCCTGCTCAAACAATTTAGACGGCTGCGGCAGTTATGGGGAATTCACAAACCTGATGCGGTAAGAAACAGTGCAATAGGTGTTAATAGTTCTCTCTTAACCCTTTACTCGATAACATCAGTATGCATATTCTCCATACCGTTTTCTGTACATTTCCTAAGGTGCTGACAAGGAGAATTTATTTAACAATCAAGAGCTTCTTTAGTTGGTTATCATTTCCTGTGTGATTCAGGGGTGTTTTTGTAAGGAGAAGTTAGATGCTTGTCACTTTTAAGTTCAAAGGGTAAACGTACCTCGATAATTACTTTGCGAGTGGGATTAACAGCTAGACTAATAACACAAATAGTAAAACAAGTTCAGTATGCAAATTCATTTAAGTTTTTAAAAAGAAGTTTAAAAGATTTTTCTCCCGTTTTGTTTTGAAATCTCACAGATTGTATGGTTTTTCTCTTGTTTTGGTGTCATACTGCTGGGAGTTGGTCTTGGACTTGGTGTAGGCGTGATCTGCGCCTTATTTATAGTGGTTTTATCTCTTTCCAGGTACAAAAAGACTACATCTACGTAGATTTCTTTCCTTCCCCTATTTTCACTTATTTACTTTATGTAGTGGTCAATTGTAGTATGCAACACAGCTTTATTGACAGCTTATTTAGTGATAAAACGTAAGCTCGCCATGAGCTCTTGATTCTTGGATAAATATGCTAAGGAGTCGAGAACTTTCTATATTCTATTTATAAATCAGAAGCAGCCTGACTTAGCGTAAGATTTTGGAATGTTCTGGATTATTCTACAACATTACTCTGCAGAGCACAATCAACTGATCTAACTTCAGGGCATTGAGCTTTGATCCAGAAGCTTAAAGTCTTTCGAAGTACACTGGCATTTTGGAAATTTCCTTTTGTTAATCGATTCTAAAGCACTTTTTAGCATTAACATGGCATTAGCCAAACATTCCCTTCATCAGACTCGGCATCTTCCTCTGATTTGAGCTGTATATTTTTCAAAACATCTCCACTTTAGGTCCAAGTACACAATCCTTGGAAGAGTAAAAGAGACTGAGTTATATCGTGACATCAACCAATGGCCCTCGGTAGGTTATTTGTCTAAATTTACAAGGTCGACTATCATAATTATTTTTGTTCTCCTTGGTGCTTTGTGTGCTTTTTGTAAGTTTGCGTTCCAAGGATCGGTGTCATCATTTGTGGATTCAGGTTTATGAGCCAAAGTTTGTGTGAAATTGTGTTTCCGACTTCTATTTTGTCACCGAACAATAACGCTTCCATGTAACATTTTTCTTTAAAGGCTTTTGAGGTCCGTAGTGTGAAGGTGGTGAGACTCGAGTCTCCTCTTTTCTTTGGTAACGCGGAGCGCTTCAGAGAGGCACTTATTGATGCCACTGGAGTGGATCCCAGTTCTCAACAGGAAGCACCCAAACTGGGAAACGACGGCGAAAAACATGATCTTCTCAAGAACAAAAGCGGTGGAAACAGTTACGGAGGAATCCCTGGCGTTGTAAGTTAGATTTACTAACTCTCTTATAAAGTATTCGCAGCGGTAAGTCGAATACTGGCGTACACTGGGGAACAATAATGGACCTAAGACAGACATCGATATTATTGCGGTTGGTGGTTTCTTTCAACAACACTTAAATCTAATGTTTCTTTGCGCAATAAAAAATTTACATACCAACAATTGGATTAATCAGGATGTCTCCGCCAGCACCACAGAATAGATACCAATATCTTTGAGTCAAGAATGTTGACTACACTTTTTTTAACCTTCTGTTTGCTTCTCTGCGATGCTGGCACAGTTATAAGGTGTTCACGTTTAGCACCAAAGCCGTTAATTTCTCTCGAGGTTCTTCCCTCTTGTAATCATGACAGGAAAATTTTTTTTTGCAATGTGTTTTGTACATGCGTGTAATTGTCTTGACTGCTTAAACGCTTAATTGTTGTCCATTTTTAAATAGAAACCAATTCCTGAGGACAAGGGTAGGACCTCAAGGACAGCTGCCGTTGAAGTTGATGAGCCGCAAAC